TACAGGCAGCTGCCTCCTTGCTGTGTCCTCCAGTGGTGGAAAGAGTGAGCTCTGAAGTCTCTTTCTCTTCTTAGAAGGGCACAAATCCCATCATGGGGCCCACCTCCAAATACCATCACATGGGGGTTAGGGCTTCAACGCATGAACTGGGAAAGACACAGCATTCCATTTATGACAGACACCCATGCAGCCACCACTTCATCAAGACATAACTCCAGAAGTGCTCATGCCACCTCATGCCCTTGCCCACACTCCATAACTTTCTATCTAGATATTTTTGCTTAGGTTATTATTATTATTTTTTTTTCCAGAAGGAAGGGAGAGGGGGAGAGAGATAGAAACATCAATGATCAGCTGCCTCCTGCATGCCCCCTACTGGGAATGGAGCCCCAAAGCCTGGACATGTGCCCTTATGGGAAATCGAACCATGACCTCCTTCTTCATAGGCCCTAAAATCATTCTTTCTAATAAATTCTGTACATAAAATAGCTTCTGTACAAAGCAAAGCATAGACCAAGGAGGTGTCACAAGCAGTTCAGAGCACCAGCTGCCAATGCTGGTTCCACTCCCGGCTGGTTGTGTGACCTTGGGCAAGTTACTTGGTCCTCCATGTCACAGCTTTCCCTTCTGCAAAGCGGGGGTGATCATGCAAACTCCATTAGGTTACTGTGAAATGAATGAGCTAGCACTGGGTCTGGGAAGTATTGAGTACCAGCTACATTTTTTTGTTTGTTTTTATTTTATTTTTTATTTTTTTAATAAAGTTTTATTGTTCATATTATTATAAAAGTTCCTCATTTTTTTCCCCTCCACCAGGTTCCCACCCCACCCTCTGCTCTTTCCCCACCCCCTATTGTCCTCATCCATATAGGTGCACAGTTTATGTTCAGTCTCTTCCCGCACCCCCACTTCTCTTTTCCCCCGAGAATCGTCAGTCCACTCCCCTTCCACACCTCTGATTCTATTATACTCACCAGTTAATATTAGTCATTAGGTTTTTTAATTTCCTTGGTTTTTAAACTTTTTTAAATATACTTTTTATTGATTTTTCACAGAGAGGAAGAGAGAGGGATAGAGAGTTAGAAACATCGTTGAGAAAGAATCATCGATCAGCTGCCTCTTGCACACCCCCTACTGGGGATGTGCCCGCAACCACGGTACATGCCCTTGCCCGGAATCAAACCCAGGACCTTTCAGTCCGCAGGCCGACGCTCTATCCACTGAGCCAAACCGGTCCCGGTGAATTCCCTTGGTTTTTAGATTCACTTGTTGATAGTTACGTATTTGTTGTTCATAATTTTTATCTTTATCTTCTTCCTCTTCCTAAAGAACCCCTTTCAGCAATTCATATAATTCTGGTTTGGCGGTGATGAACTCCTTTAGCTTTTTTTTATTAGTGAAGCTCTTTATCTGGCCTTCGATTCTGAATGATAGCTTTGCTGGATAGAGTATTTTTGGCGGTAGGTTCTTGTTATTCATCACCTTGAATATTTCTTGCCATTCCCATCTGGCCTTGAATATTTCTTGCCATTCCCATCTGTTGAGAAATCAGCTGACAATCGTATGGGTGCTCCTTTATAGATAACTACCTGCTTTGCTCTTGCTGCTTTTAATATTCTCTTTGTCTTTTGCTCTTGGAATTTTAATTATGATGTGTCTTGGTGTGGATTCCTTTTGCTTGGGGTTCTGTGCGCTTCCTGGACTTGTAATTCTATTTCTTTCACCAGGTGGGGGAAATTTTCTGTCACTATTTCTTTCAATATGTTTTCGGTATCTTGCTCTTTCATCTTCTGGAATCCCCATAGTTCTGATGTTGGTTCGCTTGAAGCTGTCCCAGAGGTTTCTTACACTATCTTCAACTTTCTGGATTCTCTTGTCTTCCTGCTTCTGTGGAGGAGTGTCTTCTGGGTCTTTGTGTTCCAAATCTTTTACTTGATTCTTGCGATCTTCTATTCTGTTTTTAGGACTCTGTATAGTATTTTTTATTTCAGACAGTGTATTCTTTATTTCTAGTTGCTCCCTTTTCATATCCTCATAGGTCTCATTTATTTTATCGGCTTTTTCTAGGAAATTCTTGAAAAACCTTATAAGCATGGTTTTGAACTCTATATCCAGTCGCTTTTTGTCCTCCATTTCTTTCATTTTTTATCTGTTTCCTTTTCTTGGCATTTTCGCTGCTTTCCTGAGTTGGTAGGGTGGCTTTGTGTGTTAAGGTGTCCTATATGGTTCAGTAGGTTAGCCTCCCAGTTATCTTGATGCACCCCTTTGTGGACTGTGTGTACAGCCTTTTGTAGTTAAGTCTTAATTGTTGTTGGTATCACTGAGAGGAATTGACCTCCAAACCAATTGGCTGTGATTTCAGCATCTGACCTGCTGACCAGTGTCTCAGCTGGCTCTCTTCCTGCAGGTGCTGCCCAGCTACCCAATTCACTACATGATAGGAGCACCCACCATTTACTCAGTGTTGGTACAACAGGTAATGGATTCCCAAAGTCCCTCCTCTCTCGGCCACCCTCCCTCCATCCAGCCCTCCCCCAGATTCTGGTCTTCCCTCTCCTAGCACCTGCCTGATCATGGCCAGGAAGACCTTCTTCCCTGGCTCTGTGGGGGACGCCACAGTGACTTCACAGTCCGGGGTGTGGGAACCCCTAGGATTGAGCATCTCCATTCCCTCAGAGCAGAGCATCTGGAAGCTGAAAGAGCAGTGCCGACCATAGCATAGCTTCTTGTACTCGACTAGTTACTTATTAAGTGCTGACTGTGTACCAGGCATTGGTGATACAACAATGACAAGATAAATAAGATTCCTTCCCTCATGAATAATAATAATAGTAGCTAATATGTATTAAGTACTTACTACCTTCTAGGGCTGTGCCAAGCCTTTATGATAATTGGTATTTTAATCTTCACAAAAACCCCACTAGGTAGATGCTATTATTCATCCCATTTCAGAAGAAAATGGAAGCACGGAGGGGCTAGGTAAGTTGTCTAAGGCCACACTGCTAACAAGTGGAGGAGCCAAGCCTGGACTCAGGCAGGCTGCCTGCCACGCCTGCTCCTTTAACAAACCAAACCAGCCATCGCACCCTAGCGGGGACAAATCCTGAAGAAGTAAACAAATAAAAAGGTATTTCTAGCCCTGGCCAGTGTGGGTCAGTTGGTTGCAGCACCATCCTGTACACCGAAAGGTTGCAGGTTCAATCGCCAGTCAGGGCACATACCCAGAGGCAACTGGTCAATGTCTCTCTCTCACATCATTTCTCTCTAAAATCAATAAACATGGTTCTCTCTCATCATCGATGTTTCTCTCTCTCTCTCTCTCCCTCTTCCTTCCTCTCTGAAATCAATAAAAATATTTTTAAATAAAATCAATAAACATTTTTTTAAAGATATTCCCATTAGTGGTAACTAATCCTACGGAGAATGTAAGGTAAAATCAGGTGGTGGGTGAAGGATAACCGGGGGCATGTGTGGTATTCTGGACAGCGATGCACATCAAGTTGCCAAAGACTCTCCCCTTCCTCCCCCCACTCCCACCCCCCAGGGCACAGAGCTTGCTCAGCACTCAGCCTGGTCCAAGGCAGGCACCAAGTGCTAGGGATGGGAAGAAGGGAGGAGTAGAAGGGGGGAGAGGGAGGGAAGAAGGAGAGAGAGGGAGGGATCCTGGGCAGGTGCCTCCACACACACTGCCCGTGTTTGGCCAGCTGTGCTGATTGAGAAGGAGCCCCAGAAGAAGGTCAGGTGGGCCGTGGGAGGGTCCGTCACCACTACCAGCCGCCTGACCTTGAGCAAGTCACTCTGAGTCTCGCTTTTCCTTCCTGGGAGAACTGGGCTGGGGCAGGGCAAGGGGCAGGGCAGAGGGCAGTGCATCACATGCGGGCTCTGGACAAAGCCCTGTGGCTCACACTGGGCTGTGGCTGTCTTCACTTCACAGGGCAGCCAGCTCAGAAGTGAGCCCAGCACCTCACCAGAAGCCGGGGTCCCAGAGGCCAGTAGCTGGGGTCCTGGTGACAGAGGTGAATGAGTGAAAGATCGCCCTCAGGAGCAGGTCTGGGATGTGTGGGGGTTCTTGGTCATCACGAGGGAGGCAGAATACAACAGTGGCACACAGAATCCCCCGACACCCTGCACAACGTTTAGACGGCCCTGCTGGAAATTCATGAAGCTAAAACACTTACTGACAGTGACCACCTGAGCCGCCTCCTACCCCACCTGATGCCATGACGGTGGAATGGCACTGAGCGGTAAAGCTCACCACTTCGCAAGAACACCTGTTTCCGCCTTCCTCCACCTTGAATTTGTCTTGGTGTGATCTTTGTTCAAACTAAGGTTATTTTCCTCATTCTCTTAACACCTGATCTCTGCTATCAGCCCAACTCTGATTGGATTCGCGTGTGGTCCAGTCTTCACTTTCGTTTCCTGGGTGTGAGAGAACTCACAGATGACCCAGATCTGGGAAACAAAAGCTAACCCGGAGAAATGCAAGCAGAAGCGCTGCTTCCTGTTAGACAGAGGACAGCGGGGTTATTGCTGGGCGGGGAGGAGGGAGCTCAGGTGAGGGGGTCACGCTTCAACAGGCTCACAGCCCAGGGGGAGTGTGAGCGGAACCAGCACCCGGCCTGGCAGAGAAGACCTGTCCTTGGAACCCACAGAGTTAACAAAACAAAAACAAAACCTGGGGAGCTGGAAGCTGGTGCAGAAGCCTCTCGGGGACAACTCGGCCCACACAGATCCTTCAGGCAGGAGTGGAAAATTCCACTCTCACACACTTCGTAGCTGAACCCCCTCCTTTAATTCATATTAAATCGCTACAAACATCTGCTTGTTCCATCTCGCCTTCTGCTTTGGCATATCCATATTTTGCAGTGCATATTATTTTATGATGAATTAATCTCTGATGGCTCCTCTATATGACAGTAGGGCTCGCTCTCCTGAGCTGTTAGGGGAGGGACTGACTCTCACACAGTGTGGTGTGTACTGGGCCAGGCTGGACTGGGCACTGCTGCGAGTGCCTTCCCACATGATCCTCCCACCAGCTCTCCGCAGCTTCAATCATTACCGTCCTCATGTTCCAGAGGGAAAAACCAAGGCACAGAGAGGTAAAGGGACTTGTCTGCGGTCACACAGGAATAATGGGCCAGGGGCTTGAGATCCAGCTCTAGAATCCGCACCTGTAACCACTCGGATATCCTCCCTCTCAGGTGAAGGGAGTGACCTGGGGGCCCCAGTTCAGGCTACTCAGGGGGCTTTCCAAGATGTTTCTTGGAAAAAAGGAGTGATTGGGGTGAGAACCACCAACCTAGTGCTAGTTTGTTGATATCCTCTCCCCATATTCCTTACTCCGTATGCTGCCACACAGTGCTGAATCCGAGCCACAACTGGGGTGGGAGTGAGGTCAGCTGTGTGACCATGACCCCATTCCCAGAAGGGGCATGGGCAGGGGGCGGCAGATGGCCAGGAAGAAGTAGGCCGCCCTCAGGTCCCTGCTGGTCATGTTCCCAAGGACTATTTATGGCCAGACCTTGCCAGGCCCCTCCTCCTCAAGGGGCAGGGAATCTCCTCTGTGGAAAATACCGCGGGGGAGGAGGGGACGAGCCCCAGGGACCGGGAGGCAATGGGCTGGGACTCGGGAGACTGACTTTTCCCCTCGCACGCCGGGTGTTTACTGCGGTTCTGGGAAAGGGCCAGATTGCATCAGACAGGGCCTGCGGGCTGGGCCCCTGCCACTGAGGAGGAGACGTGGCCTTATAAGTCGGAGCCAGTGAACTGGGAAGTGCCAGGAAAGCAGACACACACCAAGCTTTAGAAGGCGAGAGAGACAGTGAGGGTAAGCCAGCCATGATGGCCACCTTCCCCGGAGCAGCCAGCTCGGCCCCACAGCCTCCGAGTCCACAGGACGAAGACCCCAGCCTGGACGAGTCAGACCTCTACAGCCTGGCGTATTCTCAGCTGGGTAAGGCCTGCCCTGCCCCCTCCACTCTGACCCTCCTTCCTCAGGCAGGGAATAGGGACTGTACCCCAAAGCTCTGTGGTGACACCCTCAGCCTCCCAACTCCAACCTGAGCTCCTTCCACACCGCCTCCCCACCCCCTCCCTGGGGCCAGCTGCCTCCCGCCTCTCACGCTGGGCTTCTGCTGGGTTCCCAGGAGTGGGAGGCCGGAAAGGTCGCACCAAGAGAGAAGCCGCTGCCCACACCAACCGCCCCAGCCCTGGTGGGCACGAGAGGAAGCTGGTGACCAAGCTGCAGAACACGGAGCGGAACAAGCGAGGAGCGCAGTCCTGAGACAGCGGGAGGTGAGGCCCTGCCTCCAAGGGCCAGGCCTGGAGGTGCCCGTTGGGTGGGGAGGAGGGATTATAGAACTGGTGTCTCAACACAGAAGAGAATAAGACATACATTTAACTCTGGGTTTCCTGGTGCAAAGGGGGACAGACACTGAGTGGCCAGATTATGATGATCTCTGAACACATAACAGTCTGGCCACTGTGTGTGTGTGTGTGTGTGTATGTGTGTGTGTGTGTGTGTGTGTGTTAGAAGCCCAGTGCATGAATTCATGCATGGGTGGGGTCTGGCCAGCCAGGCCAGGGGGAGGGGACATGGGAGGTGGCTGGCCTGCCTGCTGGTCGAGGGGACAATTTGCATATTAGCCTTTTATTATATAGGATATACACTGAGTGGCCAGATTATTATGTGTTCAGAGATCATCATCATCTGGCCACTCTGTGTATAGACCAGGGAAATCTGGTTTACGGAGAGGGAAACGGAGGCCCAGAGAGGGCAGGTCTTTCTCTGGAGTCACAGAGCATTGATGGCAGAATCACCCAGGCCTCTGTCCCTTGCACCAACTGCTTTCCTTCCCCAGATGCGGCCGGAGCACGCACCCCACACGGCGATGTTGGCGATGTTGGCGATGTTAGCAGGACCTGGGCCCACCCACCCACAGCACTCCCAGGACTCCCCCACCTGCCTCAGGCTCTGAGGGGCCCCCAAGGGAGCACCTGCAGAACAAGGGCAAGATAGGGAGCAAGAGGCAGGGCGTGGAGGGGCACAGCCACGGAGGTGCCCCAGAAAAAAAGATGCCGAGAAAACCGGAGCTCCCGGGGTGGCAGCGGCAATAAAATGCAGCAGCAGCAGCTATGAGTCCTGTCCTCTGTGCGGCTCTGTGTGTGCCCGCCCCCCTGTGTCTGCGGCTGTGAGGACCAGGAGCTTTGGTTCTGGTCTGCATTTGGTTACTGTCCGGGAGCCGGTGTTTCTGACTTTGCAGGGGCCGGCAGAGGGGAGTGTGTGTTGGTTCTGGTTCGGTTTGGGTGGGCTTGTGCTTTGGTACAGACAGACGGTCCTGTGGTCTCTTCTGGGTGCAAGCACGATCCTCTGCTTCTTTTTAACCATGGCCCATGACACAGTCCCCTCCCCAGCCCGGAGTTACAACCCTGCTGACGATGCTGTATTCATCTAAAACCTCCTTTTGGAGTGAATTTATTTACTGGTGCCAAAACGGAACAAACCAGGACTTACAGCATTAAGGGACTTGCCCCAAGTGCCACAGGGCTCCCAGGATGCTCATGGTCCTCACCATGAGGGGGTCCCTTTGCTTGGGGGGGAGGGGGGCTGCCAGGACAGGGTTCTGGGAGGTTAGCCGGGGGAGGGAGATTCTTACCTGGTGTTACCCGGCTCGAAACCACGCCCAAGAAGAACGTGGGGCAAATTAGAGGAGCGATGGGAGCTGAGCGGAAATACTGATCGAGATACGAGTTTGGGCCGCGGTCAGGAAGACTCAAACCGAACGGGCAGAAAGACATGGCACTGGCACAGGTCAGCTCCCAAGGTAAATACTGCTGGACCAAAATGGCAACACCTCGTGTCAGGGATTCCAGCTCCTTTAGCCCTCAGTTCTGCCACCTCCGAACATGGATTCCACTCTGAGGCCCACGCTGGCTGCTCCAGGGCCAGCCCGCGGGGAGGAGCAGGGACGGGGGGAAGGGCCAGGGCAGGCCACAGCAACCCGTTTTTAAGGCCATCACCTAAAAGTAGAACACTTCACATCCGCTCAGAACTCAATTGAAGGGCCACACCCAGCTACCAGGAAATATCGGAAAAGTTAGTATTTAGCTGCTTAGCCACGTGTTAGCCAAACTGGGGAAGGGCGGGCTTTATTTATTAAAGAAAGCAGGAGAGAGTAGATACTGGATAAAACTAGCAAGAGGCGTTTTCCTCAGACTCCACGTCAGTGGGGGGAGGAACCCGCTGGGTCTGGCCCTGAGTGGAGCCTTTCCTCCCCCCTGAGCCCTATGCCAGCCCCCGGCCGCAGAACTTGGGCACCGGTGGTTCCTAGGAACCAAGAATATGGGCAGAGGAGCAAGGCGCCTGTTGGAGCAGAACCAGATTCTCAGCCGACGAAGGCCGGCTTGTGCCTTTGGCACCTCTATCCCGTGGCCTCCCCTGAGTCCAGCCTGGGGACAGTCTGGACTGTGCCTGTCTATGCCACACAGACCTCAGACTGAAGACATTAAAAGGCAAGGCACCTAGGCCGGCCAGTGTGGCCGAGTGGTTATGTATTGACCCAGGAACCAAGAGGTCACGGTTTGATTCCTAGTCAGGACACTTGCCCTGGTTGCAGGCTCCACCCCCAGTGTGAGGTGTGGCAATCAATGATTCCCTCTCATCACTGATGTTCCTAACTCCCTCTCCCTCTTTCTGTCTCTGAAATTAATAAAAATAAAAACAAAACATCTAAAAAATAAACAGACCTAGCCGGTTTGGTTCAGTGGATAGAGCGTCAGCCTGCGGCTGAAGGGTCCCAGGTTTGATTTCCAGTCAAGGGCACATGCAGAGGGTGTGCAGGAGGCAGCCAGTCAGTGATTCTCTCTCACCATTGGTGTTTCTATCTCTCTCTCCCTCTCCCTTCCTCTCTGAAATCAATAAAAACATATTTATAAATAAATAAATAAGTGGCACCCAGCCCAACCCCATCTGCTCTGACTGGAGTCACCTGCTTGCCTGGCTGTCACTGGGACAGGGAACTTGCTGCCTGGAGCTGCCTGATTCCCTCTCAAACCTGACTCCCACCACCCCTGAGCAAGCTTCTGTCTTCCTGGACCTTTCTCTCTGAGCTGCCTTTATCCCACCCATCCCTCCGGGCTCAGCTCAGATGCCTCCCCGTCTTCACAGTCGTCCCTGACTTGCCCTCACCGCCTGTCTCCTCGCCTCTCCCGCAGCCTGCACCCTTCACTGGATCTCACCCATGAAGCCTGTGCCCAGAATTCACCATCATTTGACACACAAGTCCTTGAGATTTCCCCTCAAACTCCTCTTTCCCAATTGTCACTTATTTGTTCAATTAATGATTATTGGATGCCTACTGCACTCCAGTGGCCTGGCTGAGGGCAGGCACTGCACGGAGGGACAAATGGGAGGCTGGTATGATTGGAACCTGACCTTAGGGCCACTTGAACTTAGGAGTCAAACGGCAGAAGCAGCACGAGGCAGTGAGCTCTCAGCCCAGCACAGGTCTGCTAGGTCAGCTTCAAGAATCATCGCCAGCAGCTTCCATGTACTAGGCTATTCCTCAGTTATAGGGGTTCTATAGGCATTGTGTCATTTAATCCTTACAATAACCCTATAGGTGTACCACTATGGATCCCATTTTACAGACTAGAAAACTGAGGTTCAGAGAAGTCAAGTAACTCGCCCAAAGTCACACAGCCAAAACCTGCAGAAGCTGGGATTTTGAACTCGGATCTGTCTGATTTTCTACCTCCAGGCTTTTCCCTTTATACTACATGCCTGAGAGGAAACGTGAATGCTGACAAGGAGGAATCCTAGACGCTAGTTAATTTCTGGCCAATACTAGCATGTCCCCTAAACCTCTGTTTCTAACCTACCAGATGGTGAGACTACCCTCTCCTCTGTCTTTGTCGAAGGAAAAAACAAGCTGGAAGTGCTGTGTCCCTCGCTGGCTGTGGCCACACCCTGGACACTGGGTCCTTTGACACTTGGCCAGAAGGTCTCACATGCCACCCTTTGCTCCTGGCCTCTGATTGGCCTTCCCTGGCCACGCCCTTTTCTGGCACAGCCTATGCCTGAAGGCCTGGAAGCGGGTATTCCAGGAACCAGGCAGTTAGTGGAATTACAGAATATTTGGTCAGAAGGATCTTGGGGTTAGAGTTTCACTCTTTTTATATATATATATATATATATATATATATATATATATATATATATATACACACACACACATATATATATATATATTGATTTCAGAGAGGAAGGGAGAGGGACAGAGAGATAGACTGATGATGAGAGAGAATCACTGACTGTACTCCCTACACTGAGGATGGAGCCTGTGGCCCGGGCCTGTGCCCTGACCGGGAACCGAACCATCACTGCCTGGTCCATAAGTCGAGGCTCAACCACTGAGCCTCGCCGGCAGGGCAACAAGAACCCACTCTTGACTCTACCCCTCCAGGCCTCCCTTCAGTCCCACCCCCGCTTCTCCGACACCCTTTCTTTCTCACCTCCTGGTCACGTGTAATGTCTGTTTCCCCACGTTCTTGGGTTCCTCCTGAGAAAGAGAGAGATGACTGACCGCTCCTCCCCCTCAGGGGCTCACGGAAACTTCCCCTTGGGTTACCGCGATTCATTCAAAGGATTCCCGGCTCCGTGCAGAACCCGGACACTTACCCCGGCTCTGAATTTGCTTCACGAGCACCCTGGTCCCTCCTGCCCACTCCTTTCTCCAAGGCCAGCTCTCAGACGTCGGGTTTTAAAATTTCAGAACCACCCAGAGTCTATGTGCAGCTAGCAGGCCTTCAAGATGATGCTACTCATGGTAGCAGCCACAGCGGCCTTCCCTGCTGCCACGTGTTTACTTAGAGTTCTAAACATGACTGCTACCTGCTCACCTCTGTACTCAAATGTATTTAAAAAGGAAACTGCATGACCACCAAGGATGGAAACCAACAATCACTGTCACAGTGAGAAGGTAACTGTAAGGAGAAACGCCTAATTATCACTTTATAACTTTCAAGTCCACCTACCATGACCTTGTGTATGAGGAGTCATGGGTTTTCCCACTTGGAGAAGCGCTGGTTGTCCATGAGCCAGCCACCCTGCAACCTGGGAGGACGCCTCATTGTTAGCGCGAGGAAGTTAAAGAAAATCCTGATGCCTGGCTCCCACGCCCAGCGTTGCTGATTTCGTTGGTCTGGGGTACAGCTTAGGCATTGAGACTTTGAAAGGTGACTCTAGCTCGGCCAACATGGCTTAGTGGTTGATCTTCGATCTATGAACCGGAGGGTCATGATTCGATTCCCGGTCGGGGCATATGCCTGGGTTGCAGGCTTGAACCCTAGTGTGGGGCTTGCAGGAGACAGCCGATCAATGATTCTCTCCCATTATTGATGTTTCTCTCTCTCTCCCTCTCCCTTCCTCTCTGAAATAAATAAAGATATCTTTAAAAAAAAGGAAAAGTAATTGTAGTATCCAGTGGAGTTTAGGACCACAGATGCCAGGCTTTTGTCTCAGATTATCTTTACCAAAGACAGTCCCAGCAGGAGTTCCCATCCCATGTGCTCTCCATGTGGTGTGGCCTTGAGGGCGTGGGGCTGTGCACCTTCCTTTTGAAAGCACGAGGACCTTCACGGCTGCCTTGGCTGGTCCAGTATGGCACGGGTGGTGCTATCTGAGAGTGTGTCTCCCCCTTTCTCCCTGGGGTTCCTGGGCCTCCAACACCCCACTCTGCAGAAGTCCAAGATCGCACACATGGAGAGACAAGGTGGAAACACTCAGCTCGGCCGGGGTCCCAGCGGAAAGCCAAGCTCAGTGTTCAGGCATGTGAGCCTGCGACCCGGGCTTGTGCCCTGACCGGAAACCGAACCATAACTGGTCACCTCAGATGAGGCCTGAGCTGTGGTGGAGCAGAGATAAGGTAGTTTCCCAGCCCAGAATCTGGGAGCACAAACACAATTGCTACTGCACAGCACTGCGCTCCGAGATGGTTTGTTAAACAGCAAGAGTGACCGAGACAGCCTCAGTGTCCCCCAGACCTATGTCTACATCCAGTCTTCAAACTTGGCTGTGACCCACGACAGTTTAGCGTTTCCCCTGCTTCTCAATTTGCACAGCTGTAAACAG